CTGGGCTCTGTGCTCGGGCGCTCAGCCCTGTCCCCCCCTGGCTGGGCAGGGGTGTGGGGTTACCCTGCTGGGCTGGAGGGGTCTGTCCCTGACCATGTGCATTGCTCCTCCCCAGCAGGTGGTGCAGGCAGGAGTTTCCTCAGGAGGATCCTTGGCACGAGCAGCATCTCCCTGCCCAGGTACAGGCAGTGTCACACGGCTGGGGCTCTTTGTCACAGCACAGCTGGCTGAGCTGGCTGCTCTGGCACCTTGCACGCTGCTTTGCTTCCAAAAAAGCACCCAGACCCTCTGACTCCAGCCCCCTCCCCTGCCTCTCCATGGGTTTTTTGGGAATTCACAGCCTGACCTGCCTTCACCTCCCAGCCGTGCCCTGCCCTGGCCCTGCTCCCTGCCGTGGTGTGGGGAAGGAAGGGCTGAGCTGGCTCCTCTCAGCACTTCCACAGCCTCGCTGGGGATCTGCCCACCCTGACCCAGGTGGGGTTTGGAGCTGCTCCCTGTGACTCCCCCTCCTCTTGCAGGGGCTGTGTTCGCTACCAGGGAGACTCCCAGGAGAACTCTGCCCAGCCCAGCTCCTCTCACCATGCTCAGTCCCAGCTGAGGAAAGTGGCCTTTTCTGGTGAGATTGCAGCTCTGCTCTGGAGGGAGGGTCCTACACAGTGGGGTGGGGGCAGCTGCTGTCCTGGGCAGTGTGAGGGTTCCCCATAACTGGGTGCTGTCCCCTCTCTGCAGTGGCCTGGGGCAGGCAACCTCCCCAGTGCCCTGCCATTGCACAACCCTTGTCATGCCCAGCACCTTCCTCCCTGCAGGTGCCATCAAGAAGCACCAGAAGAGCCTGTCTGCGTGGTTCAGCCACCAGCCCAATGAGGAGAGGCAGTTTGGCCCTTCCTTCTCTCTGGACGCCGTCCACGTGGACCCAGTGATCCGGGAGAGCTCCCTGGAGGAGATTCTGAAGCCCTCCCCTGGTTTAACCATCCAGAACCAGCTCCAGCAGCCCTCCAGGAAGGTTATCAGCCTGCACAGCCTGTTTGACGTGGACGCCTGCGGGCGGCAGGTGAAGAACGTGGTGCTCTACGGCACCGTGGGCACAGGCAAGAGCACCCTCATCAAGAAGATGGTGGTGGACTGGTGCCACGGCCGCCTGCCCCGCTTCCAGCTGGTCATCCCCTTCTCCTGCGAGGACCTGTCCCACAGCCATGCCCACGTGTCCCTGCGGCGCCTCGTCACCAAGAAGTACCAGCACCTCCGGGACGTGGTGCCCGTGCTGGAGACCTCCAACCTCAGCGTGCTCTTCATCCTCAACGGCCTGGAGCGCCTCAACCTGGACTTCCGCCTGGCTGGCACGGAGCTGTGCTGTGACCCCAACGAGCCCGTGCCTCCCTCTGCCATCGTGGTCAACCTGCTGCGGAAATACCTCCTGCCCGAGGTGGGTGCTGCCCTGCTCTGTGCTGGGGGGAGGTTGGGGGCGAGCCCTGAGGCGTCACAGGGCTGTTGTGGTCATTATTTGCTGTCCAGCTTGGCTGGGGGCAAGCAGGCAGCCTCTGTGTCTGGAGGGACTTGCTAAGGTGGGCTCGTGTCACTGGTGGGATCTTTGGGTGGACCTGGTAAGGTAATAAAGGCTGTGATCCTCCAGATTTTATTTATGTCTAGGAAGTCTGGTAAGGTAATGAAGGCTGTGATCCTCCAGATTTTATTTATGTCTTGGAGGCCTGGTGTGACCGTGTTCACAGGAGTCCAAGGAAGAGGGAAGAGACGAGGATCTGACTCCATGTTTCAGAAGGCTTGATTTATTGTTTTATGATATATATTATATTAAGGCTATACTAAAAGAATAGAAGAAAGGATTTCATCAGAAGGCTGGCTAAGAATAGAAAAAAAAAAGAACGATAACAAAGGTTTGTGGCTCAGACAGAGAGTCCGAGCCAGCTGGGCTGTGATTGGCCATTAATTAGAAACAACCACATGAGACCAATCACAGATGCACCTGTTGCATCCCACAGCAGCAGATAACCATTGTTTGCATTTTGTTCCTGAGGCCTCCCAGCTTCTCAGAAGGAAAAATCCTAAGGAAAGGGTTTTTCATAAACCACATCTGTGACAGCCTGGTAAGGTAATAAAGGCTGTGATCTTCCAGACTTTATGTCTAGGAGGGAATGGAGAAAGTTCTTCTGTCCCCTCTGCCTGGGCCGGGTTTGATCCAGCCCTCTCTGTGAGCCCCACCCTGTGGATGGGGTGATCCTTATGCACCCCTCAGTGGGTTTCACCCTGCTGGGCAGCCCCAGGCTCATTCAGCCCTGTGTCCCCAGGCCAGCATCATCGTCACCACGCGCCCCTCAGCCGTGCGCCGCATCCCCGGCAAGTACGTGGGGCGCTACGCCGAGATCTGCGGCTTCTCCGACACCAACCTGCAGAAGCTCTACTTCCAGATGCGCCTGAGCCAGCCCGGCTGCTCCGGGGAGGAGAGCCAGGAGCGCCGCTCAGCGGAGCAGGAGAACCTGGTGGAGATGCTGTCGAGGAACTTGGAGCGCCACAACCAAATAACGGCCGCCTGCTTCTTGCCCTCCTACTGCTGGCTGGTGTGCACCACCCTGCACTTCCTCTACTTCACCAGGACGGTTCCTCCCAGCCAGACCCTCACTGGTATCTACACCAGCTTCCTGAGGCTCAACTTCAGTGGGGAGGTGCTGGACAGCAGCGACCCCACCCACATCTCCATGATGAAGTACGTGGCCAAGACAGTGGGCAAGCTGGCCTACGAGGGGGTGATGTCCCGCAAGACTTGCTTCTCAGAGGAGGACCTGAGGCAGTGCTTCGAGGTGGAGATGAAGACTGAAAGAGAGCTCAACCTCCTGGAGGTTTTCCGCAGCGATGTCTTCCGTTTCTTCCTGAGCCCGTGCGTGCAGCCGGGCAAGGAGCACACCTTTGTCTTCACCATCCCCGCCATGCAGGAGTACCTGGCAGCCCTGTACGTGGTGCTGGGCGAGAAGAAGACCCTGGTGCAGAGAGTGGGGAAGGAGCTGTCAGAGGTCCTGGGGAAGGTGAGCGAAGACGTGGCCGTGGTTGTGAACATCATCTCCAAGGTGCTGCCCCTGCGCTTCCTCCCCGTGCTCTTCAACCTGCTCAAGATCTTCCCTCGCTACTTCTCCCGGGTGGGCGGCAAGGACAGGGACACCATTGCCCACACCATGGCAGAGGAGCTGTTCAAGGAGGAGGACTACTACAACGACGACGTCTTGGACCAGATCAACTCCAGCATCCTGGGCGTGGAGGGCCCCATGCGCCACCCCGATGAGGGCCCGGATGACGAGGTCTTTGAGCTCTTCCCCATTTTCATGGGCGGGATCCTGTCCCGCCGCAACCGCGCCATCCTGGAGCAGCTGGGCTGCTCCATCAAGAACCTGGCAGCCTTCGAGATCGCCAAGGCCATGAAGAAGACGGTGATCAGGAAGGGCCGCCGGGGCCTGCCCCCCTCGGAGCTCATGGACTACCTGTTCTTCCTGCACGAGTTCCAGAACGAGCGCTTCACGGCCGAGGCCATCCTCTCCCTCCGTGCTGTCAACCTCTCCTCCGTCAAGATGACCCCTCTCAAGTGCTCCGTGCTGGCGTCTGTCATGAGCACCACGAGTCACGAGGTGGAGGAGCTGAACCTGACCTCCTGCAACCTGGATAGCGGCAGCTTGAGGACCCTCTTCCCCGTCCTGCTGCGATGCAAGGCTCTCCAGTGAGTACCACCTCCTCCTGCTCAAAAATCGGGTTTTTTCTCACCTCTGCCCATCACAGGGATGCTTTAGGAAGCCCAAGTACGGAAAATTTAGGAAAGAGCGTGTTTATCCCAGTGCATTCCTAGGGAACTACAGCTTCCAACATGCAACACTCCTTGAGCAGCCCTTCTAGGGCACTGCATGCTGGGATTTGCAGTCTCAGCTCGCACTCCCGCAGGAATTTTTGGGAAGTTCCCTGCAGCTGGTACGGGCTGGGCGGGCTGCCAGCTGTCCTGGCAGACCTGAGTCCCTACGGGAAGTTACCCGCCGTCCCCGCGTCGTTCGCTCTGTGAGGAGTTTGCAGTCCCAGCGGTGGGAGTCTGGGCTGTGCAGATGTTCCCGCAGACGTTCCAGAACGTCTGTGGAGCTGCAGGTCTTCCTGCCGCCCAGGTGGTGGCGAGACGTGCTCAGCACAGATGGATCGGGCTGTGCAGCTGGGCTGTGCCGCACTTCCTGCCTCCAGATGCTCAGGAGGGCTTGATGGAGCCCTGATCCCTCCTCTGACCTTCACCCACCTCCTGAAGACTCCGCCATCCCCTTCCCCTTGCCCTGCTCCTGCTGGCACTGGCTCTGCTGGCTCATGCTCGGGTGCGGTGTGACCGCGCTCCCTTTGGGAGAGGAAACCTGGAGTGGCCTAGTTTGGGGAGCCCAGGGAGGATGGTGATGGGCAAAACGGAGCGGGCAGGGCTGCCAGGCTCCCAGGTAACAGCCATTTTGTTCCTGTCACCCCCGTGCCTTGCTCTGTACCAGCCTGCAGCTCAACAGCCTGGGCTCCGATGCCTGCAAGGAGATCCGTGACCTGCTCCTGCATGACAAGTGTGCGGTGAGCAGCCTGCGGTGAGTACGGCCCCTGCCCTGCATGACACTGCCACTGCTGTCCCCCCACGTGCCTGGGCACTCCCTGAGCTCCGTGTCCCACAGGCTGGCCAACAACCCCGTGGGCGAGCAGGGCGCTCGCTACCTGGCCGAGGCGCTGGCCGGCAACCGCTCTCTGACCCAGCTGTCCCTGCTGCACACCTCGCTGGGGGACCCCGGCGCCGAGGCCATCGCTGAACACCTGGCCCAGAACCAGCACCTGCAGGAGCTCAACCTGGGCTACAACTCCCTGACGGACGCGGCAGCGCTGCGCGTGGTGGAGGTGGCCAAGAGGCACGAGACGCTGGACAAAGTGCAGTGAGTCCGCTCTGCTGCATCCCCGCCCTTTTACCCACACAGCATCCCTGCCCTGTGTGCCCCTGTCCTTCCCCTCAGCCCTCACCAGTGCCTCCTGCTGCTTCCCCAGTCTCTACTTCAACGACATCAGCGAGGATGGCAAGAGGGCTCTTGACTCCCTGCGCATGGACCGGGACGGCGTCAGGGCTCTGGTTTTCCTCACGGCGGGCACCGACGTCTCCGATTACTGGTCCCACATCCTGAACGTGGTGCAGAGGAACCTGCCCTTCTGGGATCGCGAGCGGGTCCGGCAGCACCTCGCCCTCCTGCTGCAGGACCTGGAGAGCAGCCGCAGCCAGACTGCCAACCCCTGGAGGAAAGCCAAATTCCTGCGAGTCGAGAGCGAGGTCAAGAAAATGCTGGGGGAACTGCAGGACGGGAGCCTCTGACCTGCTGCCCATCCACCAGCCAGGGTGGGGCAGTGGAGTGTGCCCAGCAGCACGTTCCCTGTGCCCTCACCCACCTGGAGATGCTGGGTGGATGGTGCTGTCACAGGTGCTGGGTGTGCGGGGCTCAGCCTCATCTGCAGGCAAGGCTCGAGTGTGGGAATGGCACAGAAACCAGGCCAGGAGCAAATGGGACTTGTTCTTCTGGGCCTGTGGAAAGCCAGCCCCTGCAGCCTGGCCAGAGTGCTGGCAGGGAGCAGGATTGGGGCTTGTCTGTGAAGCTTTTGGGAGCATTAAAGTGCACCTCTCTATTTCCACTGAAGCACACTAGTACCAAGACTTGATCTCCTCTTGGGGCCCTTCCTGGGGAGGAATTGCAGCAGCTGGAGTGGAGGGTTCTGCCTTTCCCCTCCTCTCAGCACTGGCAGGGAGCAGCCCACCTCTGCTCCAGTGCTGAACCACTCATTCTCCCCTCACTGGGTGTCCCCTGGAAGCCACCAGGAGCTGTCCCCAAGCTGGGTGTCCTGGGGTGCTGCTCCCTGCTCCCAGCTCTGGCTGGCAGTGCCAGGGGCTGGGAGGGCAGGGGAAGCTCAGGGCTGTTTAACCATTAAACCTGGGGCGTCTTGGGAGAGGCGGGGACACTTCCCTGCCACTTCACCCTGTACCTTGCTCCCTCTGGCAATCCCTGCAGCCATGAAGCAAACAAAAGGTATGTGCCTGCCGGGGAATCTTCTGCAGACCCTTCCCCACACACACAGGCCCTGCTGCCAGGTGCAGCAAGGCACTGTCAGAGCCCAGGCAGCCCATGCAAGGAGCCAGAGGCGTGCAGGGAAATGTCACCTTGTGGGGATGCTGGGGAGGCATCCCCTCTCCCTGGGTTTGGGGGTCCTTGTGCCCAAAGAGGTGTGGAGGGGTTTTATGGGGGGGTGTGTGCCAGGGAAGGTCTCTGTTTCCTTCTCCTGGCTCCAACAGCTCCCTGGGGTCCTGGTGAACCTTCTCAGCCCTCACTGCAGAGCCCTGTAACCCCCAGGACTGGCCCCATCTGCTCAGCCCTGCTTTGCCCGTGGGACCTGAGCAGCAGATCCTGCTGTTGGGAAGGCAGGAGGACAGTGTGACAGGGCCAAGGAACAACCTGTGCTGAGAGACAGAGGGGCCTGGGGGCTGTGTGGGCTTGGCAAGCCCCCTCACATGGATGGCAGGCTCAGCCTGGGAGCGCTCGAGCGTGGGGTCTGCTCCCAGCCCACCCCCTCCTGTGCTGACCTCTCCTCTCCCCCTGCAGGCCTCGAGGGAGACAAGATGTCCATCATGTAAGTGCTGATCTCCCCTTGACCAGGGGCTTTCTGGGGCTCAGGAGAGACGTGGGGAATGGTCCAAGAGGGAAATCCCCTCTGGCTTTCCCGAGGAAAAGGAGGCACAGGCCTCAGTTGGCCCTTTATGGAGGAACAAGCTCCCCAAGGCTGGGGGAGGCAGGGGCAAGGCCACCCTGCACTAATGTGGCCTCTCCTGCCCTTTATCATTTCAGAAAATTTGAATTTAACCCCAAAGTTGGGATCGACAACCCAGCCTTGACCCTGACTGAGGACACGGGTAAATACA